TCCCGCCGGGGCGATGCATGCAGTGTAAACACCGGGGTGAGGGAGGTCCCCCTTCCACGGAACACGTCTCAGACCCTGACGACGTCCCCGGCAACGACCTTCATCCAAGGACGTCCAACGTCATCTAACAAATTTGTTTCTCCGTGGTAAACTATTCCCATTGTGACATAAATTTTTTTGTCTGTTTCGGCCCATTTATCATGAGTGATTATATCAAAGGGTGAGAGAGAGTGTGTGCGGGTGTTTGAACGAGAGCCAAACCCGTGCCACATGTGTCTGAGAATGGACAAGTATGCGCGAGTGTGCGCGGCCCTGTTTGCCTACCAGTGACTTTACTGCCCCTCAAAACTCCAGGCTATGGACAGGACCTCCATTTGGCAGTTTAAATTAGGACGGGGTCACCCTGTGGCCTTACTAACTTTAAACTACCATACTGTGAAATTCTTCGGGTGCGATGAGAGCTAATGTGTTAACTGTTGTGCAACCCATTTGGGGACTTGCCAGTCTTTAAAAAAATTTGTTATGCTTCGGAATGACAGTTAAAACATACTTTTAAAAGGGTAACATCCGTGTCCATAATATCACCAGGGTCTATAATATCGCCACCTTGAGAAATAGTGTGCTTTAAGATATTTTTACTGCAGCATACTTTTGGTATGCACTCCTGCACACCTCAAATGTACATACCTAGGGTATGTTGCAGTAAAAATATCTTTAACACACTTTTTCTCAAGGTGGCGATATTATGGACCCTGGTGATATTATGGACACGGATGTTACATTCTAGTTTAATTTAAAAGTCATGGGAGCGGTAGTCAGGAATGTTTGTTACACTCTACAGGCCTACCATCTCCAAATTTCTACCGGTACATCTCCTACAGATATTTGATTGCTCTTTGGCTTCCCTAATCTTTTGTTTTCACTGACCCATCCCAACCCCCCAATGTTAAATGGAATAGCCTATTCACCTCAGCAGCTCCAAAAATTGTTAGTTTGTTCACACTTCCCTGTCGCCTTAGATCCAGACATTACCAAATTGAAAGCATTGAAAGAAAACTTCCTGACTAGAATTGAAGCCAGAAAAAACTTCCTGACTAGAATTTTCTTTGATGACAACAGATACTTCCGACACCACAATACTCCATTGTTCCAAACATCAACATTTTCACTTTTGATCTCCGTATGCACAAGCTGCCTCTAGTTTGGTAAGACACTCTTCTAGCTGTTGGCCGATTCTCTTCCAGATGACAGTTACTTCACTTCACAAAGACCTAAGTTTGACTATGCCAACAGATGACAACAGATACTTCGGTTGTTCAAAACATAAACTTTTTCACGTTTGATCAAATGCACAAGTCTCCTTTGTTTAAAAACTAGGTCCAAGTTTAGTGAGACCCTCTGTTGACTGTCGACCGATTCTCTTCAAAATGACAGTTGCTTCACAAAGACCTAGGTTTGACAATGCCCCATACTGTTCCCTTCCAACTCCTGACACCACCATGCGCCGCACATGTTCCAAGATGTCATCGCGAATCGCTCGCTACAAATAGAGACGCCGACACGTCTCGGACTGTCCACCTACGCATGCCAAGTCTTAGGTCATTGTCAAGACTTCTTAATGCGTTACCAAGGTAACGGCCCAGACAAGGCAAATAGCTGTCGTCTGTTTGAAACCACAGGCTGTGTCTTCATGGTCCCCCGTGTGCCAAGTCTTTAAGGACTGATGTCATCGGTGGCCTTTGTCTGGGGGAAATTAACACTTACTCATGTCTGCACAATGGGACGCAATCTGGATCAAATCTGTGTGTATGAGGCCCGGTATCCGAGCTTGTTATATCTGCCAGTCTGTTTCATCCTCGCTGGTTTAAGAGACTCGGCGGCTATAATACTGGTACCATTAGGTTTGGATGATACTGATGATGCAGTCTTGTGTAATAAACTTTTTCCACTCTTTTTGTCTTGCTTAAGAGAGCTCTTCAAATGCGGAATTATATGTTATGATAGGCATACTGGCAATCTCATAAGCATATAGCTTTTGCACATACATGTATATGATATGACAGCATAGATGGATTGAAACATAAACTTGGTCTTTGAAGTTTCATCCATATAGAAAACAACGGAAAACACATATCACAAATAATTGCTGGAATTTACTATACATTTTGTATAGACTCAATTTGTAAGGTACATGTAGATCAGTTCTCATTCGTCTTTTAGTCTTAGTACTGTTTTGTGTTGCCCAAGTAGATGCCCAAAGTTGTACTGAGTACGTTGTCCAATTGTTGTGCAGTAAAGTTTATCTACTATTTTTTCCGTCCAGTCCTCCACATCCCAGAGAGTTGCTGAGTCAGCAGTCCTGCACACAGTGCTGGGAGACATTGTCATCAAACTCTTCCCACTCGAGTAAGTACACCTACCAGTCTCCACCAGACTCCTGTATATGCAGGCTGAATAATTAGTAGAAAACGGCCTAAAAAGGAAATACAATTTCAGAGAGGGCCCATTTGCCTGCAAAGGAGTCTTGTACATGATTGGATGGCAAATCTTCAAGCAGACATTGGGACGAAAAATCCTAACATTCTCTGACCCGCCAGCTTTTCTGAAGGGGTTCTTACATCCACTCCAACATCTGCTTAAAGATTGGTGTCAGACCACCAAGTACTTCAAAGCAAAGTAGCATTACAAAAGAAGGTATTATGCTCAAGTAACCTTCATTCTCTAATTTTGTTTTACTTGTACATGTATCTTGAGAGAGAGAGAGACAGAATGGTTTATTCAATATAGAAACCTTCACAGCACCAGTGCTGAATTGCAATGTATGTACACAAACATGTTCTTCAAATAGTAAGCATTATACATTATGAGAAAATAAAACTAAGAACAAGTCTAAATCTTAATTTCATACTCGGTGTGTGGGCACTGAAAAATTTGTCACTTTTGTCAAGCCCGTAAGTGATGTATGGCCATGTCAGAGGCAGGGCCACTTCAGAATGTGGTGTGTGTACTGTCGCAGGCGTGCCAAATCTTCACGCCAGAATCCTGGACACCCAGGGACGACAGTCTTAGCCCTGCTGACAGCTTACTGACGTAATTTCCTCCTCTGTGGACACGGCTGCGTGTATTCTGTGACCTTTACCTATTTCTGTAAAGGCCACACCAATTTAATTTGTTGGTTCACATATCGCCATTTGACTTTTTAGCCTCTGAATAAACTCCAAAATGCTCATATTTTGGCCCCAGTAGTTCAAAGAAGTCCCTTCTCTTCAGAGTTGTTACACTTCTATCAATGCAGTGGTTTGATTAAAAGTTTGAAATGCATTGTTTGAATTACACACCAGCCTGGTATGTTGACCTCATGGCTATCATATCATTTAGGAGCTATCATAGGATGCCAAGGTCTGTTTTTTTTTTCACCCTGTCCCTTCATATTTTTTCTAAAAGAATCTGAGAACGAACAAATCAAATTGGTATGGCCTAATGGTAGGAAGAGTTTGGCCTTTAGATGCATTTACCAGATGAGCCCCACTGTGCAGTGTGTCCCAGTCCCTCCCCACTTTTTGGAAAGAGTACGAAATCCCACATGTTCAATGTCAAGCATGTGAGAGAGTTAACGACTCTTACAGACCTACTACTACCGGTACTTCCCTTCCTTCAGACTACATGTATAAGGAAACCATTGTTTCCATTCATTCTAAACGTGAATGTAAAACAAAAAGCAGTCACATGTATTTACCCTGGTCTATCATTTTATTGTCTGAAACAATAAGACATAATTTACCTAAAAGCTCCTAAATTAGTAGACAATGATTGAAAGCTTACAGTGTACAATCTCATATATATTGGTTTTCACTGCCTGTTTTGTGTTACAACAAGTTAAAGATCATTACCGGAGACGTGTTTGAAAATTGAGTCCAAAGACCTCCTCCTTTTGCTGAAGCATTCCACAAAGATCATATAGAGTGGGAGGCAGGGGATTTGAGCAGAGGTCACAATTGTCCTCTCTGAGTTTGGCATTGAGCCCACACTACGGCTGGATCAGGTCACTTTTCTGGGTTTTTTATTTCAGTAGGAGAAAAGAAATGACAAGTCTCCATGCTATATATTAAAGGCATCCAATGCAATTTTGGGAGGAGGAAATCTGTCTGATATTGACATTTACTGCCATTTTTAGCCCATTTTCGTCATCATTTCATACTTGAAGCAATACATAGCCCTAAGACAAGCTATGTGGGGTGACATCTCTTTATTTTTTGTGTACCGCCCATATATAGATAGAACCAACCTACAATACAAAACAAGCACCCATTTTCCATCAGCAACATTACATTTTTGTCTCACAGATACATGTATTACTAGTAGTGTGCTGTGGGATAGGACTGATTCAACTTGTACTACATTAGAAGAAAGACCAGGAAATTGACTTTTGAACTCCAGATTTGCTGCCCTAAAATATCATTTGGATGTCTTTAGCCATTTATGTTCCTCCTACCCTTATACATTGTACCTCACTTATCTAATAGTATACCGGGGGTGCAATTTTGGCCCATATAGAGCATAAATATTGTCATTAATTTTGTGTGTGTGTTGTTGTTTTCCCAGGTGTCCTAAGACAGTGGAGAACTTCTGTGTTCACACCAGGAACGGTTTCTACAACGGACACATCTTCCACAGGGTCATCAAGAGCTTCATGATACAGACAGGCGACCCCACAGGTCAGAGGTCACAAACACTGCCCCCCTCCCCCGTAGGGCTGATGTTTTGTTTGTTTGGTTGTTTTATGACTCATATCAGTGGATGCTTTTGTGTTTATTGCTAAGTTGCCAGGTGCAGTACGAAACCCTGCCACAAGGTGGCACTACAGTCTTAGGAAAGTAACTATATACTTAGTTGATAGTATACCCTGTACTAGGGCTGTGTGTCTTATACCTGTACCTTTAAAAACATTTACTTCCAAGTCTGCACTTGAACATCTGGTGTACCTGTACCTGAACTGAAAATGAAACACTAGTGGACACTACCAAATGCAAGGCAAACACTCTACCCACTTGGCCATTGCACCTTTCTACCCTATAAGACTGTAATATACAGTATGGCATTGAGCTTGACCGTGTTATTTTCATGTGCAGGGACTGGAACAGGAGGGGAGTCGATCTGGGGAGGGGAGTTTGAGGATGAGTTCCACCCCAAACTGAAGCACGACCGGCCCTACACCCTCAGTATGGCCAACGCAGGACCCAACACCAATGGATCGCAATTCTTCATCACCGTCGTACCAACAGTGAGTACAGTGCAAAGTGAAGTTAAAGTAAAGTCCTCCCCACAACCATTAGTATTGTCGCATATGGCAGCACCCATCTCTGTTTTTGTAGCCCTTGGGCCACACAGCTATGCGATCACTACAGCAGGGGACTAGTCCACTGGTAAGGGTGTGTGTGTGTGTGTGTGTTGAACTCCCATACTCTGTCTCAAATGCTGAGCATGGGCATGTTTATGCCTTCAACTTTCGACCAGTCACTCTGGTCTTCCTCAGTAGACTGACCCAGTGAGACTTGTCGCATGGCTTCTCTGAAGTGTGACGTCAACACTGGGTGAAAGGAAATTATTTAGTGTTCCTACACATAAGCCTATTTATCAGTTATTATAATAATATTTATCATTGCTCTGTTCTTTCCAGCCCTGGTTGGATAACAAGCACACAGTGTTTGGACGTGTGGTCAAGGGAATGGAGGTGGTCAACAAAATCAGCCAAGTCAAAACACACCCCAAAACTGACAAGCCTTATGAAGACATCAGTATCATCAGTATCACACTTAAATAGATTAAACCGTTCATATGTGTGGATGTTGTATGATATACTGTAACTACAGTTATAAATGGATGGACCTTTCTCATAATGTAGATTTGCCACTAACTTACCTATGTGATGTAGGAATGGTTAAGTTCCTCTGGATCTTAGTTGACAGGTCTTTAGTCGAAAGAAGATAGGCCGACCAAGGAGATTTAAGTCTCCTTCATCCAACTGTATAGATTTCTATCATTCCGAGATATTTTTTGACACACCAAAGGAGTGGATAGTTACTAGTGTCATGCTTCTAGAGCCTTGAAAGTCATAAACTCTTGATGGGAGGGAAAGACATGTATTTACGTAGGTTTTACTGTAATAATAAAGATCAAACTTTCATATTCTATGGCAGTTTGTCACACTTCATTTTCTAAATTCATGTCATTGTTGGTATTGTATTTGTATCACTGAAAAGTTTGTTTATTTCCATTTTAGACTATGGCACCAACACTTCAGTTCCAAATGCTGCGACGACTTGTAGGTATTTGGTTACATGTACGTTTGTTTCAAGCTAACAAAACGTTTACAGATGCAGTTGTCCCATATACATTCTGTACACACATATATACATATCGTACTCAGAAATAATATCTTAATACAACGTATGTCACAGGGCATATTTTCCTGAATTCGTCTAGTTAAACTTTAGTTTTATTGTCCACAAGCAGAGACTATATAAATGTTATTCAATACTATTTGTACAAAGCCAAATATTACACCTCTTCCAATAACCTGCCAGGGGTTATGAAACACCTTCTCTTTTTGTGATACCAGTTTTTGGTACATAAATTACATCCAAATCTTGAAATCTGTCTTTTACCTCAACCACTTTTAAATAGTCCTCTTCATCTGAATCTACCAAGCCACAGTTCTCTTTGATATCAACATCTGAAGTTTCTACTTCTGATTGGCTATCATGTGGTTCAAGTTCAAAAGTTTTTAAGTCCATGACGTTGTCCACTATCTCGGGCGCCATCTTGGCTTTGTCAGTGACCAAGTACAGTTGGTCCAGAGAGGGTGTAGACTTTCCATTGGTCGCTGGAAGCTTTAAAAGTACAACACAGAAAAAAACAATTGTTGAAGGACGCTGACTTGTAACATATTGCTTGTGAAATTAATCTTTTAAGAGGCAAGGTACGGCTAGATGAAAGAACTTCAAAAGGGAGAGATTCAAAGACAAAGGCAGAATCTGATATACATGTAATTTCAAATATTACTGTACTTTACTTAATGATGAAGCAAATGTTATGTTACCTCTTCCGTGATGAAGTCTTTCGGTTTTGGAATGTACGATATTCTTCTGCACCTGTATTGAGATACAAGTCACATTGTAGGTTCAACTTCATCTTATGATGACATCTAATCTAAGCCATATATTAATTGTTATTTCAGCCATATGATTGTATTGTCTGAGAACAACATTCCACATTCGTGTCAATGGTAAACTGCATTCAACAACTAAGGAGGCACGATTGCGGTGCGACTTACGTTTGGCGTAGTTTAGGCGCAGACACAACTGCGATGAACATCAGAATTAAAACAAAGACACTTCCAAGGGTGGCTCCGGCAATCACGGCTATAAAAGAGATAACAAAACATTTCCAAACAAGCTTTGAATTTTTCACCACACAATGACATACAATGTATGATAGACATGACATAAACCTTAAGTAAACAATGTGCAACATAGACCCCTTGTATCTTAATTTACTGATTGTAGTGTTATGCCTTGCTAGTAAAAAAGAACTTACCTCCGTGACTTTGATCCATTGGAGCAGGTTCCACGTTGTCTCCTTGTGGAATGAATTAGCGAAAAAATTAATTACAAGGAGCAAGAGAACAAATGAACAGGTAGCTAATAAAGATAGTGCCTTATTGCATGTAATTATAGGTCTAAAACGCAAACTCGAAATCGGATTCGAGATTGTAACAGAAAAAAAGACAACAAAAGAAAAACGACTTGCTTTTCAGTGTCTGCGCGTACTTGAGAGGAGAATAGGGTCCGCATGGGGATTCCTCGGCTCCTGTACACGCCTGGACTTGAACACTGTAGTTCGTGCCATCCTTTAAACCCCATAAAGATCCTTCTGTCTGGTTCCCAAAACCCATGACCTTATTCTTGAGTCTGATGTTGTAGTGCAGGATGATACCATTTGGGTGTTTAGGGGGTGACCAGCTGATGACAAATGAGTTTGTTGTGATGTTGGCGATTGTGACGTTTTCTGGAGGTCCGCTGGGTGCTGCAAATTGGAAGAAAAAGTCATAAGTTGTCTCATGGAGTTAAAAAAGTATCAAGTAAAAACATCCCCCCAAAATATGATTAGGGTGTCAGGCTACCAAAACACTGCAAACTCCTTGCTCAAACTAATCTCCAAGCAGATATTTGGCTGGCTGTCATTGCTGTAAGGCAGTATCAAATTTAATTGGCCAGGAAGTATCCAATACGTGGCGCAGCCAATGGTTACAGGCGGCCAATATACTAGTACACTTCCCTTGCCATCAGAGAATCTGCTTGAAGATCAGCTCAAACATCGCTCACACTTGATACTTGTCTACAAATTGAATATATACTAATATCTAGCAGTCTGATAACTAGCGCTCCTTGCGATTCTTCACTGCACTGCCCTGTACTTACCTGACTGCTTTGTCGTGCCGAACACAGGTTCACTCATATTCCCCTCTCCCGCTACAGTCCGGGCGGACACTCGCACGCTGTACCGTGTGAATGGCTTCAGGTCTGGCACTAGAGAACGCGCCGGTTGGGAGTCGTTCACTACTTTTACAGCGATCAAGGTGGTACCTGAAATACAGTTAAAGTTGGAACAAAATAAAAGCACGGTACAGGTGTTTGGAGTACGTCTTAGAGGACCAACTCACTGGCATTTTATTTGTCTATTTGGCCAATTTCTACTCTTTTCAGCCACTTGATAGAGGCTAACAAAGTCTTGTACATTGGGGATGACCAACTCAGAGTTACAGAATACAGAAATAAGAAGACAACATTATGATAGTCATACACAAGGGTCTGGCAGTACTCAGAAAATATTTTTTCCAGTCCAAAGTACCTTGGAAATTCTGCATGCATGTAATATACACGGTGTAGGCAGTTATCAACCCTCTCCTGTTGGTCAGTGGAACAGGTAGCCAGGACACTCTCAGGGTGGTAGCATTTTCTGCTTGAGCGTTCACGTTCGTAGGCGGGGAAGAAGGCACTACAGAAATAACATAGGAAAGTGAATATATACAATTATTTTTTAATATTGATATACGAGTATTTGGCTGGCGATTTAGCAAATGTATGATACGGTTGACAGAAAATATGTGAATATTTTCTGTTTTGTGAAACTCTTCAAGGGCGAGTAGCACATATACTGTCTTCTGGTTCCCGGGATTTGAACCTACGCCGAACCCGGGCCGCCAGCTCACGAACCCAACGCGTACGCACTAACCACTAGTCTAAAAGGTCCAGACCCACTGGACAGGTCAGTTAGTGGCGCTTGAACTCCTCTGTTACATCATTGTGATGAAAGCTCCTTGGTTACATTGGATACAAAACTAACGTTATATCTTTACTGCTGTGAGATATATTGCATGTGGCATCTCAAGTAGTACAGTGTTTAGCATATGACGCCAATGCAATTAAGTGCTAGGCTATTACCTCCTTCAACTGTGTACTTGTAGGTGTTGTCTGAGGGCGGGCCCTGGCCTGCTGAGGTCAACGCCCTCACGTTGAACCGATACCGACGAAAGGGCAGCCAACTGTCAATCAAAGTCGTCATCGTGTAGGTCCCTGGGACGGAGAGTGCGCTCTCGTTCCCACCGCGACAGGTGGTGTCCGTTTCGAGTTCGCACCAAAAAACGGTATATTGTTCGATGCCGCCGATTTCCGCGGGCGGTTGCCATGCCAACGTGATGTTTCCGTCTGTGTTTACCTCCGCTTTCAGATCTAGTGGATGGTCAGGAACTGAAACAGCGGAACAATATTGAAGAGTTTTCATAAAATAAATGTCGGTTCCGTCAGAATTGCAATTTTAAAAGTAAAAAGTTTAAAAATAAACAGCTCAAACAAACAAAAAAATTACCCCTCGCCTCGTCTCTGATCTCCACCGTTGTTTCAGGCGACTCTCCCTCTGTGTTATAAGCCGTAATGTTAACTCTGTACCCTGACAGTTTCAGCTGCTCTAGCGTACATATGGTGTCGTTCACGGTCGTGTTTAGAACAACGACTCTGCTCGGTACTCTCAGGTCTGTAACTCTCACCAGATAGCCCAGGAGGATGCCGTTGTGTTTTTTGAGTGGAAGGGGCTAAATGGACGACATGGAGCATTCATTTTACGCGTTTTAGCATATTTAGAATGTATTCACTGTTATTTATAAAAGTAGATTATTCTTCTAAAATTGTTAGATATTACCAACAGTTCAACATCAGTTTATACATTTCGTCTTTCAACATTCAGTGCCCGTGTTACATTTGACTATGAGGCAATGATATAGAACTAATTCTCCCAAATACCATTAGTGAAGAAATTTAAACTTGAAGGAAGCCACACCTCCCATGTTACTGTCACGTTCCTTCGGCCTGTCCTGTAGTTTCTAGAGACGGTGACTGGCGTCTGGACATTAAGAGCAGAACCTGGGGCTGCAGGTATAGGAAATATTCAGAAAGTTACCGTGATGAAGAGAATAAACGAAGGGAAGAGTGGATAGATAGTGTGTGTGTGTGTGTGTGTGTGTGTGTGTGTGTGTGTGTGTGTGTGTGCAGGATGATACCATTTGGGTGTTTAGGGGGTGACCAGCTGATGACAAATGAGTTTGTTGTGATGTTGGTGATTGTAACGTTTTCTGGAGGATCGCTGGGTGCTGCAAATTGGAAGAAAAAGTCATAAGTTGTCTCATGGAGTTAAAAAAGTATCAAGTAAAAACATCCCCCCAAAATATGATTAGGGTGTCAGGCTACCAAAACACTGCAAACTCCTTGCTCAAACTAATCTCCAAGCAGATATTTGGCTGGCTGTCATTGCTGTAAGGCAGTATCAAATTTAATTGGCCAGGAAGTATCCAATACGTGGCGCAGCCAATGGTTACAGGCGGCCAATATACTAGTACACTTCCCTTGCCATCAGAGAATCTGCTTGAAGATCAGCTCAAACATCGCTCACACTTGATACTTGTCTACAAATTGAATATATACTAATATCTAGCAGTCTGATAACTAGCGCTCCTTGCGATTCTTCACTGCACTGCCCTGTACTTACCTGACTGCTTTGTCGTGCCGAACACAGGTTCACTCATATTCCCCTCTCCCGCTACAGTCCGGGCGGACACTCGCACGCTGTACCGTGTGAACGGCTTCAGGTCAGTCACGAGAGAATGTGCTGGTCGGGAGTCGTTCGCTACGTTTACGGCAATCCAGATGGTGTCTGAAATACATTTTAAGTTGTAAAAGCAGTCACCATAAAAGCCCAGTGCAGGTGTACTCGCCCTTGGCGGACCAACATCTCCGGTATTTTATCCGTCTATTTGGCCAATTTCTACAATTTTCAGCCACTTGCGAAGCCTGGTAGAGGCTAACACAAGTCTTGTACATTGAGGGTGACCAACTCAGAGTTACAGAATACAGAAATAAAAAGACAACATTATGATAGACATACACAAGGGTCTGGCAGTAGTCAGAAAATATTTTTTTCCAATCCAAAGTACCTTGGAAATTCTGCATGCATGTAATGTACAGGTTGTAGGCAGTTATCAACCCTCTCCTGTTGGTCAGTGGCGGGGGTAGCCAGGACACTCTCAGGGTAGTACCATTTTCTGCTTGAGCATTCACGTTCGTAGGCGGGGAAGAAGGCACTGCAAAAAAAATAACATAAGAATGTAAATATGTAATTTAAGTATTAAGTATTTTTGACAATGATATACTAATATTGGGCGATTCGGCAAATGCGGATACGATTTAGATTGATCACATATTTTTCTGCTTTGATATATAGCAGTATATCTTTACTGCTCAGTGCTGTGAAATATATTACATGCGAAATCACTATATTACATGTAGAAATCACTTTCAGACATACCATTCGTGACATAATTTTATGATTTTATGATTTTATGACATGATTTTATGGAACCCCTTGTGTGCCTTTAAGGATGGCCAAGATGACTTATAAATGGTCAAGTGTTTATCAAAGGACGTCAATACAATTAAGTGCTAGGTTATTACCTCCTTCAACGGTGTACTTGTAGGTGTTGTCCGAGGGCGGGCCTTGGCCTGCTGAGGTCAACGCCCTCACGGTGAACCGATACCGACGAAAGGGCAGCCAACTGTCAATCAAATCTGTCATCGTGTACGTCCCTGGGACAGAGAGTTCGTTCTCGTTCCCACCGCGACAGGTGGTGTCCATTTCGAGTTCGCACCAGTAAACGGTATATTGTTCGATGCCGCCGATTTCCGAGGGCGGTTGCCATGCCAACGTGATGTTTCCGTCTGGGCTTACCTCCGCTTTCAGATCTAGCGGCTGATCGGGAACTGAAACAGCGGAACAATATTGAGTTTGCATAAAATAGATGTCGGTTCCGTCAGAATTGCAATTTTAAAAGTAAAAAGTTTAAAAATAAACAGCTCAAACAAACCAAAAAATTTACCCCTCGCCATGTCTCGTATCTCCACCGTTGTTTCAGGCGTCTCTCCCTCACTGTTATAAGCCGTGATGTTGACCCTGTACCCGGACATTTTCAGCTGCTCTAACGTACATGCCGTTTCGTTCACGGTCGTGTTTAGAACAACGACTCTGCTGGGTACTCTAAGGTCTGTAACTCTCACCAGATAGCCCAGGAGGACGCCGTTGTGTTTTTTGAGTGGAAGGGGCTAAATGAACGATACGGAACATTCAATTTACAAGTTTTATCATGGAAAATTGTACATTATAGAAATAGATTTGTCTTCTAGAGTTGGATATTAGCAACAAATATTGTTGGATATTTCAACATCCATTAATTTTACATTGCATCCACTTCAGTTCAGTAGTTGAATTTCCTCTTTCAACATTCGGCAGACGAATATATGTTACACTTGACTACAAGTCAATGATATAATTATTCTCCTAAATGTAATCTTGAATAATGGCATACCTCCCATGTTACTGTCACGTTCCTTCGGCCTGTCCGGTAGTTTATAGAGACGGTGACTGGCGTCTGGACATTAACAGCAGACCCCGGGGCTGCATGTGAGAAACACTCAAGTATAGGAATTATTCAGAAAGTTACAATGAAGAAAATGAACGAAGGAATGAATGAATGAATCGACGTATGGGTGGACGTATGGATGGATGGATGAATGTGTGCGTGCGTGCGTGCGTGCGTGCGTGCGTGTGTGAGTGCGTTCGCGTATGTTCTGCGCTATGCGACGCTATACTTGCTAGAGTGTCGTACAAGAAGAGGTGTTCTCACCGGTAGCGTTGGTCTGTCCCTGAGCAAACGGTGTATATCCACTCCACGTGCGATCGAGTATTTTCATACACCTGACCCTGAGTCTGTAGAACGTGAACGGTGTCAGGTCGCCCAAGGACGCGGAGCCGTAGTGTGGTCTTTCAACCCTCACTTCTGTCGTCTGCAGATACGTGACATACGTGGAAAACGTCGTTAAAGGCACCAGATGAAAATTCCGAGGGTGGCAACTGGAAATATTCTAAATAAGGCAATCTGTGTGACATTGACACGTACTGCCCCACATTAGCACATTTGCATCAGTATTTCATACTTAAGACATTTAAAACGTGCTAGTTTTGCGCCTTAGAGAGCAGGAAACAAAAACACTTCAGAGAAACTTTAAGTCACGTAACGAGTCTCACTGGATCAATTTATTGAAGAAGACCAGAGTGTGGACTGGTCGAAAGTTTTAGGTGAGCACAATCCCTTGTGTTGGAACTTAAGTTTTAACTTTCAACATCATTGTATAAACACTATCCACTGACCCTAGCGATATCGTCCCACTGAGAGAAATACTGTACTGAGCAGATGTAGTCGGTGAAAGGCCGGAATCCACACTGGGTGATGTTCCAGGTAGCTGTCAGCTCTGTGCTGCTGACCGGCCAGACTGCCAACTGCTCCGGGGGAGTCGGCGGAACTGGTGTGGGGTAGGGAAACATCATGGAGGAAGTTTGCCTGGTAACTTAAGCTACCGACTCTCTTTCTAATCTCCAAGCAGACATTTTGGTGGATGCAAAGACAGGATCAAATTGGCCATACTATATCCATTGGCCAGACAGTTACCATTTCGCCACCATGGAAACAGTCTGACCAATTTGATACTGTACTTTCAACCACCAAAAGATCTGCTTGAGGTAATCTCTTTTGTCCTCCCCGGAAATATTGTGGCTAGGATAAAGTATATGCATTACGTTTGCCACAAGTACTAGCTTCGTAGTCTGATCTGTGAATAATATCTCTTTGGCAGGGACAACGTACCATGTTTTTTCTAGTTCAAAGTATCATGATGGCCTGTATGGATTTAAGACTGTTACTCAAGCCACTGGATAGATTTTGAAAACTTCCAGACGTTTCAAGTAGCATCCACTACCTTACGTTTCGCGTTCAAGAGTTGGTGCACGTCTACTCACTAGGATAAACTATATATCGCTCGTTACAATGGGCTGCATTAAGAAGAAACAATACGTTGTTCAGTGATCGACACAAGGTACAAAACAATGGTGTTGTTGAGGCGACCTTTGAGCACTCTGTCAACATAGCGTTAACCCTGATATCATGTGCGTGTATGTTTATGGCAGTCCCCGTTTACAATAGATCGCCCTGTTTGACGTACAAATAAAGTCATGGGACGATCGCATATATGGCTCTCAGGTTTTTAGAACTTATAACATAATTTTACCGTTTGAGATACAACTCCAAGACGTGCAGGTTTCCGGATCAGGACAGACGTAATTCCGACTGTCAGCCAACACTAAAAAATATAAGATGATCAGTCGTAAAGCCAATTTATACGTTATCGTGTGACATGTAAAATCGTAATTTATTGATCAGCCGATCGAAATCAATAATGAACTTTGTTTAACTAGTTTTTATTGCAAATTCTTGCCCCTGGGAAAATTGCGAGTGAACAAGTGATACATTGTTTGTTATCATTATACATTGAGTATGCATGCGATACACACGGTGGGAATTGCACTACGTTACTGGTCTATGGTAAGGCTTTAAGATCAATATACTGGCTTGCCGATTTGCCACAACAAAATCCTGCTTTGACTTGCTAAAACCCATTTATAACCCAATGCCACTGATGATGTCCTTCATATATAATACAATATGTAGAAGACAGAATTGCGACACCCCTAAAGGCGTTCCAATGTCTGAAGTTTGCCTCATATGGTGCCACGAGTTTTTATCAAAGGTCGACCAAGTCAGCGTTTAGAAATTGCCCTTAATGACTTGGCGAACCCCTTAAAACTCCAATCAACGGACTAAGATGAGACTATGACCGCCACGTGACCTTACCTGATAGGATGAAGACGATTTGAAAACCTAAAACTTGGAACAGCGGCGTCATTTTTTACCGTTTTGAGCCGACACAGAACAACATGACGAAATTTCGGACGTGGTGGTGTTCTGTCAAGATAAGAGTGACCCTTGTCATCCTGGGAGCAAACAATAGGCCAGTACAAATTAAGTCGACAGGACAGGTGTTTGTCCTTTTTATAGATCTTGCAAAGTCTACATCGTAAAATAATCAGCTTTATTGTATACCAGCCTACAGTAAACTTCCTCCTTTTCAATTTTTTCGGGTAGACCAGCATAAATTACGCCCACTGATACGTATTTTATTGGACACAATTTATAGCACAAAGCTGCATTAGTTATGGTCATCCTCTTTTTTAATGAATTGACGCGTTCGTAACACTTCGATTTATCAATCTCATATTACACCGGAAGAAAATATGAAGGAATGAAAAT